ACCGCCTTTTAATAAAACCCATGTAGCAACGCATCAGTCTTGCCGGTGTGACCATGCGTTTTTGCACTAAACTTGATGCATTTAGATCGTCAACACTATGAATGGTTGTTGTCCTACAGTTCAACATTTGCACCCCGTGTGCCTGTGTGTTTGGTCTAGTATACGGAGGCAAAAAGCTGCCCTGATGCGCGGCGCCATTTAATTTATTTTCATGAGAATGCAGTGGCATGGAGGGGTACAAACTCCCCGTTCGTCTAGTTAGGCACCACATTCCGATTGCCTCTGCGGGCCAGATTAAAACCAATCGCGGGCTGCCGGTTGCCCACCTGTGCGATCTGTATAATAGTGAGCAACATTTGCAACATATCCCAAGCGTTTGTCCCAGATCTCGTTTAATCCAGTAGCAAAATTTTTACGTTGTACAAGGTGATGAGACTGTCCCACAGCATGAGCCTTTTCAGGCATCTGCATCCGCATCCGGAACAGACGTCAGTGGCCGTGTAGAAAATGATGCAGTTGCGCCATCGACAAGCTCGGAACAGCAGCAGCAGCAGCAGCAGGGTATATTATTGGGAATTTGGTGTATTCTTAGTGAGAGCTTTGAATTGCCCCCCATTTGCACAGCCTTTGTGCATCACTGCTATATCAGCGATTCGTTGTTGATGATGAACTAACCAAGAAATAATTTTTAGAGATAGCTCGTGTGCACAGTAACCAATCGCTGGAAAATGGTACTCCGTCGATTTCGGAGGAAAGCATCGCGGGAATGAATGGGAATTTGTTTAGTGACAGTGACACAGTGTCGGAAAACACGACCTCAGCGGTAAAATTTTTTTTTATGTATATATTTTACCAGTACCCCAATAGCGCCATAATTTCTCTTACAAACAATGTTTCCTCCGCCACTTACTCAGCGTGCGTACTGGGTTTCGTTTGCTGGTTTTAGCATGTTTCTCAGTTGCTTCTGAACTTTGCGGCTGCTGCTGTTAACTGCGTTAAATTTGTGTGATGGCACAATCGATTGCTTTTATATCTCCTGGGAAATAATGCGTTGGAAATGAAATTCTAACCGGTGCAGACAAAAAAGTTCCGAATAATTGAAACTTTTGCTCGCACAGCGCCTATAGATTCTCGCTTTAGTTTGTGCATTTGTTTCCCATTATGAGAACTTTTTTTGACGGTGCTGAAATCAACAAGCAGCGATGCTAATTCTTTGTGGTTGCTTTTAAATGTTATGTTTTTGTAGCGCAGCGACAGTGGATTAGCAGTGCATCAAAGTCAGTCGACTCCAGCCTTAGCAGGTATGTCCTATCTTTGTATAAAAACATAATGTGTATAATTGGGATAATTAGTCAATTGTTTATTTTTTATTAAAACTTATTAGCAAATTTTAGCGCTGGGAAATGGTGATAGAGCGGACGATGCACAGCTTCCAGCAGCAGCTGTATTTCGACACGATCCGGCAATGGAGTCAGCAAAAGCCAGTGTCAGCGAGCAGGTAAGAAGCTGCAATACAGCCTTTTCATTTGTTCTAGAGCCGTCGTCGGAACGTCATTTTGGGACAGATTTTTTTATTTCCCGAAAATATCGATGAAAAAAGGAAAAAAGGTCAAAAGTCGCTTAAAAACAATTTTTGATGATGGTGATGATGACTGTATTACCGTTTGCAGGAAAACAGACGCATGAAAAGACAAGCGGAAACATCTCCTCCTATGGACTCGTCTCAATCGGTGAAAAAATCGGCAAAGTGTGAAGTTTTGCAGAAATCGCCGTTGCCGGGAGGTAAAAGGGACGGGGAGCGCTCAGAGCACACTCACTAAAATCATGCAAACTGGGGGGTAGTCGAAAATCACTGAAAAATAATGCAGCATTTATAATACTTGTTTTGTTTGTGTAGAGCCGGTTGTTCATGCCGGTGTTCATGTCACTGCTGCTGCTGTTGCAAACTGTTGTGTCGCCCGCCTACCAATGTTCAACAAATTAAATGAAGCGCGTCAGTCCAGAAGCTTTAACGCGCTTCACAAGCCTTTCCAATGATTGTCCTCATGTACAGCATTGTATTTTTATCGCCATTCAGGTCTTATCAGTTTTACTTTTATCCTATCACTCATATATAAAAAAAAATTCTCAAAAAATAATAAAATTTGGAAGTCGCGGATTGCGCGTGCTTCCCTAAATCAATTCAGTTTTATCATAATAATTTGTCTTTTTTTTTTTTTTTTTACAAATTATTTTTAACGAAATATTTTTTTACAAAGTCTATTTGACTCAGTACATATAATTTTCCATTTTAATGAGTTTTAAACTGAAAATCACATGATATATGATG